GGGTCGTCGTCGGGAAGAAGATGGTCCTGTCCGGACACAATTTCCTGCAGGACTCCAAGGTCATTTTCGTGGAGAAGGCTCCAGGTACGTTCTTTAGGCCGGCTGGCCTGCTGGGCCGTGGATGGTGCAGGTGGGGTGGCCTCTGAACGTGCCCCCCTGGCTGTGCATTCCCATCAGCATGTCTCTGCAGGCTGAGGCCTGCTGTTTCCGGGGCCCTCCCGTGCTGGGTGTGTGGTCGCTACTGCAGGACCCCTGCAGGTTGGGGTTCTTGGGAGGGTGCATGACTGGCATGCGTCCACCCGGCTGTGGGGCCCTGGCCTGGAAGGATGCCTAGGCTGGGCTGCTCTCCGCACAGGTCTGCAGGCACTTCTTCGAGAGACAGCCGGTCTGTAGCAGGGTGAGACGGTCAGGGCATGACCTGGCTGGTCCCCATCAGTCCTTCCCAGCTCCCCCACTGGAGCCAGCTCGTGGCCAGCACTGGGAGGCACTACTTTGCTCTGATGTGTGTGTGAGGCAGACCTCATGCCACAGCTGCCGGAGAGCCCAGGTCACCCAGGGGGCCCCGGGACTGTGCCAGGGCCACCTCCACCTGCCTGGCCCAGCCCAGAAACGCCCAGGGTTGGCTCCAGTACACTTGTAGGCCTCAGGGAGGGTGAGTATCTGTGACGTGTTCCTGCAGAGGCCGCCATTCTGCGGGAGATGAATGGGGACCCCTGAGGTCTGGCATCAGAGCGGCCCTGGGCCCTGGCTTGGCTGTCCCTGGCGTGGCTGCAGGCTGTGCTCGGCAGGGCTGGGCAGTGCTGCTGGGCCATGGGCAAAGCGTCTATGGCCACTGAGTGACGGGCTAGCTGCAGGCGTGTGTGTGCCCCAGTGAGGCCAGGCCCCTGAGCTGCAGGTCGGGCTGTGGTCTTACTCTGAATACGAGTTCCCTTTTAGAACCAGTCCCTGGCACTGAGCAGGGCCCCCAGCTTACCAAAGGCCTTGTCCAGCGTGGCCCCCTTGCCTTCCCCCAGTCACGCTGTCGTGGGCCAGGGTGGGCCTGGCGAGAGGGCTCGCCCAGGCCGGTGTTCTGGTGTCTTTTTCTTCTTTTCACTTCTGCCAGTTGGAGTTTTCTGGAAGGCGGCCAGCCACGCGTCCACTGCAATCACTGACTGCCCGAGCACTCAGCTGCACAATGGGGCTTGATTTCAGGCCGCAGGGTCTCAGTGCCCCCGTCAGAATGGGCGTAGCCGCCTCCGTGCCAGCCCGGCCACCTGTGCAATCGGCACACGGTGGGGAGCGATTCAGCCGCAGCGGAATCGGACCCACCGCAGTGATAAGGAGAGGGGCGTCACACCCCGTGCCCTGACTCGGCCTCCGTGTCCCCGTGGGTGCTCCGTGGCCCCCTGTGTGCCGAGCCGCCCCCCCCCCAGCCCCGTGGCCCAGCAGGGCCTAAGTGCGCCCGGCTCCGCCTGCTGCCTGTGAAGCCTTTGTGCCCTGAGAGGGGGGGGCCTTCCTGCCCAGCCGCACCTGTGCGCTCTGCAGGGCTGTGCTGCGTCTCCCAAGGCCAGGCTCCCTTAGCCGGGTCACCTTCACAGTGCATCAGAGGAGTGGGTCCCCGCCCACAGGAAGGGACGCTCTGGTGAGGGCCGGGCAGCTGCAGCCCTGAGGCCTCCCGTCCTCCTAGCTCTGCACCTGGAGTGTCTCCTGCAGCCGAGCATCCGTCTGGGGCTGTGGGGCCGTGACAGTAGGCACAGAGACACAGACACAGAGCGGGCAGCCACACAGGCACAGCCCGCACCCGTGAGCAGGTGGCCGTGGGCCGGGCCCTCGTGTGGCCGGATGGCATCTGTGACCCTGTTTGTGCGTGGCGAGACCGTTAGCGTGTCGGCGCCCGCACTGCGAGTCGTGGCTCCCAGGGCAGACGACAGATGCACCCTGGACTCCTAGCCAGCGGCGTCACTGCAGGTGCCCTCCGCTGAGGCGTCTGTTGTTGGAGCCCCCAGTCCCCACCCGGTGACGAGCACTCAGAATACGGCCTTCCTTCATTCTGTTCTGAACTCAGCTCGTGGGCAGCCTGGGCCGAGGGGCTGGGCAATGGGGGCCCCGCCCTGCAGCCCAGAGCCCCAGGTGGTCTTTGAGCACGCCTCTCGCTCTAAGGCTGCAGGACGGCACCTGCTCCCCTTGCCACTGGGGTCCGGCAGAGGCTGGACGGGAGTCTGGGGTTGGGGGTGAGCTGCGTTAACCACTGGCCAGTTGGCGACAAAAGCAGCACCTCCACATGCTCACACCGTCCACGAGGTTCTGGACCCACGAATGGAGGACTGCTGAGTAACAGCCACACCAGAGCCCGGGCCCAGGCGGTGGCCACTTTCTTCTGCACCCACAGCCACAGGTGGCCAGAGGGGGATGTTCTGGAAGGTCTCCCCCAGGCAAGAGTGCTGGCCTCATAGGTGCTCATGTGTATGGCCAAGACCATAGCCCCCCCGGGGGTCGGAGGGCTGGCTTCTCACTGTCTAGGTAGTCGGGCACCACCCCCATGTGGCCTCCCGAGAGGTCTCTCCCTGAGGTGTCTGGGCAGCCAGGAAGCAGGGCAGGGCCAGGAGTGCCAGACCCCTACAGCCCGAGCCCGGCCAGTGTAGCATCTGTCTTGCATGCCTGGGGCCAGCCAGCTCAACCCGTCCGT